AGGTTCAGCAATGGGGAGATTTTTTTCTTTTCTTTTTGTGTGTTCATCCTATCATTTAATATAATGTGTTTAGCATATTCATTTAATTTTATAAGAATTCTCAAAATGAATAAATAATTAATTTAAAAGATTTTAAATGCATGCTCCATCTATAACATTGAAACTATCATACATGTTTTCTATTTAATTTTCTTTCATTCATATTTTACAAGCATTCTTATCCGGGAATGAAATGCCAAGAGTTGAAAGGTTTTTCAGCCTTGCAGTGGCGGAACCACAGCTTGGTGAGGGTGCGCTCGTCTCCACCTTGAAATCCGAATTTTATTTAATTAGTTACTTATTTTATTAATGGAAAGATTCAACCACAAAACTAAAAACAAACAAACAAATACCATTATCGGTGAAAGATAAGTGCCATCAACACTAACATAAAAATAAATATAAACCATATATGTTGTTAACCGACTTTATTACAAATCAAGTACAACCTATATGACGTTATTAAAAATTATATTTTAATTAACATTTTTAATTAAAAAAAGTTTTAACATTTAAAATTTTCAAATAGATTCATAAAAAAAACCCTAATATGGAGAACGGTCCCCAGTTGAGCTATTTCTTATTTAGCATTATAGTAAATGTAACCTTCAACATTTTGAATTTTTACTAAATTAACTCATATTCTGTTTTTCACTTATCTTAACCTTTAACCTCACTTTTTTTTTTCTTCAATGAAAATATAAATGTTGCTTTATCCCATATTTCCCGATTCACATCATACCTCTCATCTCAAATAGGAGGAATTCCATGCCTCAACATCAGTAGACTTCCCAAAATGAAGCCAACAAACTATTAAAAAATAAATAAATAAAAGAGTTGAGATCTAAATTCTTAGTTGTGTACAACCAAATATTGTTCCTCGGCACTTTGTCATTGGAGCTGCCTGACGCCATGTAGGTGTATCACCCCCCAACTGTCCATATATTAACATCAGACATCGGTTGGATATCCCAATTAAACCCAGCAGGGCCGATTACCCCTCCGATCATGTAAATTTCACCTTTTAGCCCTGTCACCGCAAATCCGATTCGCCTACGGAACTCGGAAGAGAAACTCACAGCCTTTCTCACTTCCTTAAGTTGCTTGAAAATAAGTCCATGGCTCGTCACGTAGAGTGCTCCCTGTACAACTGCCATTGGACACTGGAGCCAACCGTAGTCCACTGTACATCCAGACCCCACGTTGTGCAGGACTTGCACTTTAGATAACCACCTGTGCAAGATATGCACCTTTCCTCCAATAACTAATCCTGAGCATGCTGAATTGTGTGTGTGGTGGAGACCGGGTATTGGAATCCAGACATCCTTCTCAGGACCATACATTTCTGCTTGAGATATAAATTTTCTGCAGCTGGTGAAACCTCCAGCCACGATGATCTTTCCCTTCAAAATGTAACACCCCAATTTTTTCCCCAATCTCAAACCCTAGAATTTGGGAAATTTTAACAAAAATTCCTAAATTGAAATGAATGATCAAATTGTAAAATTGTAAAATTGTAAAGATTGAAGTCGTATGTTCAAAATACTATAAAGTTAGATGAACAACATTGTAATTAACTAAATTCCCCGTCTATATCACTGTGCGGCGCCCTTCTTCTCCCTTATTTATTTATTTTTATTTTTAAACCCTAGCAGCCGCTGCTCCTGGTTTCCGTCGTTGTTGGGCCGTCCGATCACCAAGTTAAGTTCACCGGTTATCGTTTAGAACCCCGCCGCTGCTGCCGTCCTCTCGGGGCTGTGCTTGTGCGAAACCAGCGAGCTTTGTCTCGTAACAACGCCCCTGCCGCTGTCGTGTTCGGCCGTTTTTGGTCGTGATAACGTCGGGTTTTCGTCGAGGAAGGCTCGAATGGCCTGGGTCACGGTTGAACGGCCTCGGTTGGCCGTGAAAACCCCTTCATCGGGTCTGTTTATGTTGCTGCCGCCTTTCTGTTTCGATCCGGCTACCGTTGTCGGCCGTTTGAGGTCACGGATGGCTTGGCCGTGAGGTCACCGGTTCTTTGTGGCCGCTGCCAGTGCACCCTTGACGCCAGCAGCCTCGTTTTAGTGTACCGGCAGCATAGTTCATTCGAACTAAGACTTTTCTCCGATCGAGTCAAATAAATTCCGTTTGTAGTTAAATATTATTCCGCAAATTGATTACTGGATTGGGATTAAATTCGGGCGTTATTCTTTTGCAGGAAACTCTGAACAGGGAACCGAGTTACCCCAAACTATTAATTTTAGCACGTTTAGTTTTATCGTTAATTTTAGAATAATTTTAGGAACTGATTCAGGTCGAACCGTTGACGATAGTTATTTTTGTCGAGCTGTGTCTCTATCTAATGCTAAATCTTGTATGTGATAATTGTTTGATTGTCTGAATTTGAGTGGAAGCATCAATATTTTGTGGTAACGTTGAATTAATAGTTCGGATAACATGTTGATTGAAAGTTGATTTCAAACATAATGGTTATGTGACTTTGATGTAGCAGTTGAAATTCAAAAGAATATGATATGTGTTATTTATTAGACTCGGATTATTTGTATATGTAACTATTACATTAAGATCATATCGAAATTCGGATATATATAATATTTGAGTATGTTTTATTCAGATCGAATATCGGATATGCGTGCTAATTGTATGTTATATTGGGTTTGGATTGATAGAGAAAATTCAGCTTTTTAACCTTACTGGTTGAATTTCACTTCAAATTTAATAGCTTTTATCTTTGTGGTAGACCCCACTTTAGAAGGTGTTTGTAGTTAAGAGTGGTTCTATTGAACCTACTATTTGGATGGTGTAAAGTGTTTGGGTGCACATTCATTGCATATTTAATCGGACTGTGAATATTTTGTTGAATCGTATTGTATAATGTCTTGAAATGTATTATTTGTGATTGCTGATTGATTCGAAATATGATTATTACTTTTGTTTCGGATTTTGTTGTGATTTGTGTTTAATTGCACTTTAAAGACACACTAAGCTTTATAATTTATACTTAGTTTCTCTATTTTAGATACTCGGACTTAGGAGATTCAATACTTGGAGAATCACATTTATTTTCAGATAAATTATTATTTCAGTATGATTTTTATTTTACTTTTCGTTTATCGGATATTAATTTATTTTCAGAATTATTTTTATTATTTGTAATTGGTCTCGGACATTATAATTAATTTTGAAACTGTTTATGCATATTTCTAAATGATTATTATTTCTATCAGATTTTTCAGACATTTGTTTAAAAAAAAAAATTGAAATTTGAATTTGAGGAATGTTTTGGTAACAATAGTATTAACTTCTAAATTTTAAATCGAACATGTTTTTCGTGAGTGACAAGTTTCTTAACGACTCTAGATTTGATCTAATTTTTTTAGGTCGGATATAGGGGTTACAAAACATGCAATCTGAAAAAGAATGTATGAACTTGTAGTTAATAACCAAATCAATAAATTATAAATTTTTCTACCTTGAAGTGCTTTTCCTTATGTTGAATAAATAGCTCCATTCCATTTTCACTTTGTAGCACTGAAAAACTAATGATCAAGAGGGCATGGAAACAACATAGGAAGGGATAGTTTATCAGTAAATTTTTCCTACCAAGAATTCAATCATCTCATTAACAATATTCAAATGCTTGAAGAAGTAAAAGGACTTGACAGTTTAAGACAGGAAGGACAAACCAACTGATAAACCAAAACACAAATGGGGCTTAATTAGCTTCAGTTGAGAATGCTGTATTTGCAACATGATGGCAAATAAGAAATGAAAATGAAGGGCAAATAAGCTAATAAACCTAAAAACGCACGTGGGTGATGATGGGATTTGTCTGCACATTAACTAATTACTTGTATGATAAAATAGCATGTACTTAACTTCTGGGATCCCATTCTCCATGTTTGAGACTGCTGCATTTGCAACATGCAAATAAGGAACAAATAGGTAGACATAATACGTTCTAGTACACAATCTAACAATATTCCAAAGTAAAATCACACAAAATCAATTTCAACAATCTATACAGAGATCTAAAATTTCAAACAAATATTTCAGATTACAGTATTAAATTATTGACCTACACACCAAAATTTCCTGACCCTTCCCTGAATAACAAACACATTTACAAGAAAACGTGACAGCGGAATATATTTCATAGTCACGAATCGATTGAATTTTGCCATCAAAGACACTTGATTCGCTTTATTAACTTGTTCATCCGAAACCCAGAAAAATGATAAAGAAATTACTGAAATTGCAAGCAAAACTCTAAAGTTTAAGAATAAAAAAAGAGAATATTTATCTTAAAAACAATCAACCTTCCTTCACTTTCACATCGAACCCAGTTCTAATTCACCATTAAAGAAAAAAAAAGGAATCGAATAATTCCAAAATTAAATCAAGATTCTGAAGTATAGAAAAAAAAAGAAGAAGCTCTAATTAGCTTCTGAAATGAAAGGATTCCTTACCTGAAAGCCAAGACTCGGAAAAAAAATTGAGCTCCGATGTTTGCCTTCGAAGAGATGAAATTCGAGATATAGGAGAAACAGCGAAAGACATTTCACAGCTAAGGAAACGCCCAGGTTGCAAAAACAAATCTTAATATTAAATTAATGTTACATAAACATATTTTAATTTTGTGACCAAATAAAATTTTATTTATATATTCATTTAATTTTATTATTCGATTGCACGAAACAAGTAATTTTAATAATTAAAACATTATTATTATATATTGAAGTCTTATATTCGCACACAATATCTTTATATTTATATATGAAAGTTAAATTTATGTTAGTTTATTTTGTAGGATTGAATAGTCATCATAACGTATAACGTTATACATGACACCAATATCAAATGTCATTATAAAATTTCCCAATTAAAATTGTGATATATGTTGAAGTGCTTATTTGTTTATATGAAAGATATCTTTATTAAAAATGTGGAAGGAAAAAATAAACAACCCAAATACCCAATACAAATCTCCAAGAAATTATTCATTTCCCTCTAATAATTTAATAACATATTGAAGAAACAAAATTAAAACAAAAAGAGAGGAGAAAGCTGCAGTCGTCGTGTATCTACGCCACGGCAATGAAGAGCAAGAAGAAGAGGCAGAGCACTGAAAGTGAAAGCTTCATGGAGTTCCCAGTGGATGTGCTATCGTCTGTTGTCGGAACATTACTCTTGGAACCGCCACCTGTACCTATTATTATTCTAATTAATGCTAATCATACTTAACAAGTTATTAAATTAATCATTTAGTTGTTGCAAACTGTACCTGGTGAGGGGGAATTTGATGTTCCTGGGGGAGATTCAGAAGGAGAAGCACCACCATTGCACTGACTAGCAGGTGGAGTCTTAACATTACAAGCAGTGGGGAGGGCCATTGCCTGAGTCTGGTTAACACTGACCCCGAGTGACGAAGCACCGCCGTTAAGGACCTGGCAGAGGCACTGAGGGTTCGACCTCACGACGTTACCGAGCTGCGAGCAGCACGAAGAAGACGGTCGCGATGAGTTCCCTTGTATGTAATCCAGACAGGGAGACATGCTAATCAGCACATTGGTGCAACCCGAACTCGATTGCGCCATCGATCCTGCCCATAAACTTGCTATAAAAAGCATTGCCACTGTTGCCGATCCCTTCATGGTTGTAGCTCCCGTTGCTTGAATGGACTGTTGAGCTGTTAATGACGATGAAGTGTGTTGTACTTGTGGGGGGAGAAGAGTGGGAGGTTTGGTTTTATAAAGGGGAGATGTGACAAAAGGGACGGCGGCTGTGCTTTAGATTAGTTCAACTAACTTTTGCCTACTTCATTTAACGAAATCTTTGGTCAACAACTCCAACTATGGAACATGAAAACTAATGAAATTTTAATAATGTCGGTCCAACGTATGTGTGCTTAGAATTGGAGGGAGCGAAAGACTTTATACCTAATACTTTTTTAGGGTAAATTACACATTTACCTAAATTATTAATTAATTTTAGTTTGTTTTAATATCTAAACTTTTAATTTTTTTCGAAACTATGCATAGCGTTTAGTTTTTATTTCATTTGAGTACACCACAGTTAAAAATTTAATGTGTTTAGTACCTAATCTACCAGTTTTGGTTCATTTTAGTACAAAAACTTTCAATTTTTTCAAAACTTAACTTTAAATTTTGAACTAGATACTAAAATAAAAAAAAATAAAGTTTTTAACGGCAGGTTACTAAGATGAAACAAAAACTAAACTTTAGGTATGGTTTTGAAAAAAAAATTGAAAGTTTAAGTACAAAGATGGATCAAAACTGATAGTTAGGCACTAAACGTGTAATTTACCTTGTTTTTAAAATCCAAGGCCGTAATCGTATAGTGTATATATTTTTCTTGAAAGATGTATTATGTATATATTTTTGTTGGTGGGAAAAAATGGATCACGACGATTATAAATGATTTATCTTTTTTTTTTGGTGGAGAGTTGCAGTCGGTGATGGAACGATTATTGATTGATATCAAAGTCTTTTTGTATCCATAATGAGATAGAATATGGATTAATGAAAAAGAGAATTCTAGATCCCTTCTTTTAATTTTAAGTAAGAGGTTTTATAGGGATTCTTATTGTTATTGTCAGACGTGTCTTTATAATGAATATTCTTAAGCTAGTAGGTTAAGTAGATATAATCAATTGATTATAGATTTGACGTTATTAGGTTACATATATTTGTCAGAGGTCATGTATGACTTTTTGAGATGTAAGACTCTAGAAATTTTATGTTTAGAAATAATTTCTTTAGAATTACAAAAGAGACCGAAGATTTAAAGATACATTTGCATCCTCTAAAAGTTTTTCAAGATTTTGAGAAAATTTAAATAATCTTATAATTATTAAGGAAATTGTCATTTCGAGAAAATTAGACGCAACATATAGAAAGATTAGCTTAAAGGTTTTTTTAATAGCCCAGAATAATTACAAGTAACAAAATAATATATGTTCATAATTTTTCTTAAAATTTATAAAATTTTATATGAATTTTTTATTTTTTTAAATTTTATAATAATAAATATTTCTATTATATGATATTTTCAATCGTGTAATACTCTTTTCAATTTTATAAGATAAACTAATAAAAAGATTCCTTGAATTTTACAATTTCATAAGACAAACTAATAAACTGCTCCTTGAAAGCTTAAAACGAAGGGAAAAAAACATTTTTTTTAAAATTAATATACATAATTTTAATACCAACAAATTTAAAATTTCTAGATAAGATGAGTTCAGCAAATAAATGATAAGTATCACTCGAATAAAACAATACTAAGTTTCACTCGAATAAAATAATACAACAACACTCTTCTCATCGAATATTAAGAAAACATGTAACAAAGAATTTGTTGATGATTGTGACCGATACAATGAAAAGAACCAGATCAAGGGAGCCTTTCGCTATGCTTGCATTGGAGGATCCTCCATCCACCGATGGGACAGATTTTGATCCTGTTCCTGCATATTTGTCCAAGCAATAACATGAAAATCAGTCCCCTGATCATATATATATATATAATAATGTCTGAAAACTTGCCCCATGATGTATAACGTACCTGAAGGAATGTCCGATGCTGATGGAGTCATGGCACCCTCAGGTGTCTCATCAGAAGAATCTGATGGTGAACCGGCTGGAGACGCTGCCGATGGAGTTCCACCTGGGAAATTTTAATTGAAGTTTCTACCAAACATAAATCCATTTATCAAGCATGGCAAGAAAGCTTACAAGTTATTAACTGAGCCTACCGTTACACTGGCTAATTGGTGGAGTTTGCACCTGACAAGAATCAGGGAGTTGCAGGGCCAGAGTCCGGTTTATGCTAATTCCCAATGAAGCGCCGTTATTAAGTGCGGAGCAAAGGCATTGAGGTGATGATTGAACCACCGTTTTCAGCTGAGAGCAGCACGTAGACGACGGGGTAGACGAATTTCCGGTAATGTAGTTGAGGCATGGGGCTAGGCTGGTGAGTGCAGAGGTGCAGCTTTGGGCGTTGGCTTCAGCCCATAGTATTGCCATCAGGACTAAGACTAGCCCCATTCCCATATCAAGACCTCTTGAAGCCATCCCGTGTCTTCCTACAATGTTCAGGAACTAAAGAAAGAGAGACCTTGTGTGTAAGAATCAGGGAACTTTGTTAAAATTAATTGATTGGATTTGCAGATTTGGGGTTTAAGTGAGAAGGAGAATGAAGCCACTGGAATTATAAAGGTGTGCCATTGAGGAAAGTGACAAATAAACTGGTATATTTGGATGAACAACTCTTACTGAACTTGAGGGTTGTTCAATAACTAAACATCTTCTTGATTTGCTTTAAAATATAATATATATAAGAATAAACTAGTATGATTATGTTGATGAGAACAAGTTTGGCTCATCAGTCTTAAGTAATTTATCTCTTTTGGTTTGGACGAAGAGTCGCTGACGGTAAGAGAATGATTTTAGACGGTAATTAATCATTAAATTTGGTTGTGAATGTCACATAGAGGTTAGTAAAAGTGAGTTTCACGTGACCATTTGATTTGGGTGGTTCCTGTAGTGGCTTGTTATTTCTGAAAGATCTTTGAAGATTTCGTTTGATTGTTGTTCTGGGTGACATTTTTCGACAATTATAATCCGGAGGTAAAACAATTTACATTTTGCTCTAGGCTTTTATAAGTGAGGAAATTAGTTGTAGTAGTTGAAATCATGAAAACCAATAGTTACAACTAACTTGCCAAACTATGATATCATATCATTAAAAAATAATTAATTTGTGAGGGAATTAGTTGTAGTCGTTGAACTCCAGAACTGCCTGATTTGTCCCTCCAAATTGCTTGAACCCCTCTCAAACTATAAAGTCTTGCCTTTGCCATGGCCTACTTGACTCAACAGCAACTTTTACACTCATTTCAACCATGGAAGGAGTCAAGGTTTTACAACTTCTAACAGTATTATCAATACTTTCAACGGTTTCAGTTAAAGGACAAAGTACTACGGCCTGCTCTGCCTCGATGATCTCCAGTTTCACACCGTGCCTGAATTTCATCACCGGAAGCAGTAGCAACGGCTCATCGCCGACTCAAGACTGTTGCGGTTCATTGAAGTCCCTCATCAGCCGTAGCATGGATTGTGCTCGTCTTTTAATAGCTGCAAATGTACCTCTCAGCTGCTCGTAAACAGAACCCTGGCAATTGGTCTCCCCCGAGCTTGTGACATGGCCGACGTACCTGTGCGGTGCAAAGGTGCACCTTAAAGTTTATTAATCTGACGCATCTAAGATCAGTCGAATAGCCAATTTAATGCGTTTTGCAGCTTCCGGTACTACTCTAACAGCTCCAGGTCCTGTTCCCTTTTTACTTCCGCCAACTCTTCCACCTACAGCAGCGTCTCCTTTAAGTCCAGAATCAGACCTGACACCTGCTGCACCTCCTATAGAGGATGAACCAGAACCACCTTCAGTCACTTTAAATCCTAGGAATAGACCGGTATTACAACCGTCGGCGGGAGCACCTAATCCGTACCTTCCGTCTGTACTTGTAACGGTGATCGGAATCGCAATTTTCAAGTTCTATTGAAGTCCAAATTGTACCTTTCGAACCACAGAGGTCGTGGGATCGAGTCCCAAGGAGGACATTCCATAATTTGGAGGTCTCTCACAAAAGCTGCTCTTAACGTAGAGTTGAGGGCAATCTACTATCTTACCTCCCCTTACCCCATTACATATGAGAATAAGTGTCAACTAATTTTAATTTTTTTTATATGCGTGAACACAATCAAATTTTAGGCACTACTAAAATTGACAAACTCTCTAATATTCACCACTAAAGTTCCCCGTCGTGCGGATCACAGCGAGAAACAAGGCGTTCTGAGCATCTATAAATACCTCTCTACCACATTAACAAATTTCATCAGAAAACAATATATTATAAGGGAGGGATATAAAACAGAGAGAAATGGGTAAGAAATTAGTGGCAGTATTTTTGGTGGTGAGCATTGTAGTGGCAGCAACAATGAGTGTGTCTCCGGTGAGGGCGGAGGAGGAAGAAGGGTGGTTCAAGTCATGCACGAAGGAGTGCGGGGATGAATGCATCGAGGATGGGGGCAGCGAAACCATTTGTGACATGAAGTGCAACAGTAAATGCGGGGCTAAGGCGGCTGGAGACTCCTTGAAAGCGGTTGGAGACTTGTTGAAAATTTAACTTGCTTATTATGTTAAATAATTCGACCCTATTTACCATGGCCAATTGAATCCTTCCCAATTGAATCCTGTATCATCATCAATTTTAAATTTGATTTGTATGTATGCTTTCTGTTTCTAATAATATTATATTCTTAATTTTATAAGAATTATTATAAATTTTGTTGATAAAAATGAATAAAGTCCACGGCCAATAAGATAAATTTATTTTCATCGATTTATATCATTTTTATTATCTATAATTGAATGATTAATTAAAAGATTATCGCGTACTTTATAACTTTTCTTAGAAAATTATAATCCCAATGCTAAAACCGAATGGATCCCAATTCCCATCCAGTTTGTCAAATGGGTGGAAACTGCAAACCCAATAATCCATTAGGGTATAGACGGGAACCCTAAAAAAACCTGACACTGAAGGAGCACGATCCAGATCATCCAAATCATCGGCGAAAGATCGGTGCTTTAGCTCCGAGGTTCTTCCCGCGGTTCCCGCCTTTGTTCTGATTTTCTAAAAATTTTGGTTAAACACTAAGATGGGTTGGAAAGCAGCTGAGAAGCTCATCAGGCACTGGAAAATTCTAAGGGGTGACAATGTAAGGCATCTAAAATACCATTTCTATTTTGTATTAAAGTTGATCGAAACCAATTATATGTTTTCCTTATTGTAATCCAATTACAGGTGATGATAATCAGGGGCAAAGATAAAGGTGAAACCGGCACTATCAAACGCGATATTCGCTCTGAGAATCGTGGTATTGTCTTAGGGAAAAATCTGGTTAGACTCTCTCCAAAGTTTAAGACAAGGCTTTTGTTCTGGTACTCGGAGGGGATGTTTTACATTTGCGTTTTTATATTTTATAGGTGAAAAAGCACATTAAGCAAGGGACCAGGTCATGAAGGTGGTATATTCACTGTTGAAGCTCCACTCCATGCATCAAGTGTCCAAGTCCTTGACCCTGTTACTGGGTATTTGATTTAGTTCTGATTGTGTATTTTGAAAGATACCTGTTGTTGTTTTATATTCTTTTCTTTTAGCAAATTAAAATTGTTTGTGACGGATTCTATTGATGTAGGCAGCCTTGCAAGGTTGGAGTTAAATATCTTGAAGATGGAACTAATGGTCTAAAATAATATATAATACTCGAACCAATGGATGTGCTGGAGAAGAGATACGATTCTAAGATCGGGAAGGGGATGCCCGATCTTTAGACATCTTTCGATCATGTGGCTGGCATCATGCAAATTCAGAAGCATTTGCCTTTCGTCAATAATTTTGCTACCATGGTCTTGATCCAGCAAGTAAAAATTTTGGATTGTATTTTAAGGTCCCTAGGTTGTATGTATTCCCAACGATTTTTCATTGTGCTTGAATAACGCATCTGTTCGCAGGTGAAGTTATGCAGTATCTGAGGTTCAGATATTTGAGAATTAGATTGCAGTTTATTTTGCCCTGCCTTTGGATCGTCGAAAAGTATTTTGTTTGTCATTTATGATTCATATAACATTATAAATTATTATTGTTATTTATTTTTAAAGAAATACAGTTGCAACCAATACAATATCCGAATTATGATAATGGAATTTTATCACGATTGAAATATATTTTAGATTTGAACCAAAGAAAATCCGAATGAGACTGTTATGAAATTAGATATAAACTCAATTTTTTTACTTAAATCTAAAAAATTCAATGCCTAGAACTACATAAATTATTCATCACAATATGACCCATTCTTTCAAGTTCGATTGTTTTCGCTCTCCCATATAATATATATTCTTTTCATATAATATGTATCTACAAATATTATTAAATGAATAAGTAAAACCATATGTACAAAAATTATAATATTCATCTAAAATAAGTAAAATAAAATTTATAACACCAGGTGAGCAAGAAGTGTTATCTATTATGGAACAGTCAGATGATGATTTGTGTTCAGTATTCAGAATGTATCCATAAAATCAAATATCCACTTCCACACTAAAACAAGTTCGAGTATCAAATGTTTCTATATAATAAAAGTTGAGTTTTTACCTTTTACACTAAACCACCAAACAAAACCAGTATCTAATGTATTCGAGTACCCAGAAGCTAAGATTCAGACCAAAACCACTGGTTCGAGTTCAAATGTCAGCTGCAAGAAAGTTCCCAGACAGAGATACCTGGATGGAGAAATCATTCCAAGTTATACTTGTTCTAAAATGTAACCATTTGATATGCCAACATTTCATTAAAAGAAAATTGTTACAGTGCGCATGCAAGTGTGTGCGTAAGAGAAACCCTACCTTCTCGCCCAGATTGAATGTTGGAAGACCCTTATATGGGCATGTACTGCAGCGGAACGCATCACCTAGTCCACACTGTTATTTCAAAGCATAAGGAGAAAAAGAAGTATTAGTCTACACTCTAAAGTTTCAGAGCATAACGAAAAGCAAAAGTATGAACTGTGACTTGTTTTCGATGCTTTGCCTTTTATTTTTCCCATTGAAATTGATCGAAAGCAAAATTTTAAAAGCAAATAAGCAAAAATGCAAAAACATCAATTAGACAATGTCTCAGTCGATGACTGCATAGTAATCATCATAAATTTATCACAATAGTAAATTCAATTTAAATCAATGAAACCAAATAAGAGGGAGGATTATAGAACACAAGACGTACATTTCCACAAGCTGATTGAGGATTGTTTAACTGATCCACCGTCAGATCTAGCTTCTGCACTTTCTCCTCTTGTTCTGCCCTTCCACAAGTACAATTCTTGCAAGCTTTCCTAGTGCTTCCCACTTCACAGTCACCAACTAAAGAAATAGTACTTTTTAAGTAATCTAATATAATAGTTCTAATTTTCCACCTAAAGAATTAAAAAACCAAAACTTAATGGTCTTCTCGAGTTTTGCCATCTTACCAGTAGGTAATTGGGGTTTCTTCAAGTCCTCTTCAGTTAAGAGGGAATCTTCATCAATTAGATCTGAGTCATC